TATAGCCCATGGTCTCAGCTATAACATACCCCAATTTGGGAGAAAACAGAGCACACATAAGATAGATAGTGCTCATAGATGAATGCCATGCAGATTCATGATGTGAACGAAATTCACCTTCCATAGACATAACACGCAAATGACGAAAATTCTGACATGTGGCCTTTAATTGAATTTTGTACTATGATGACCTCATTAAAATGAAACTTAGTGAAAAGTGATCTTGTAGAGAATTGCCTTATCTACAACATATCGACATTTCAAAGAGAATCGATGAATATTGAGAGAAATACACTACATTTTCCATAAATACAATGACGTCATAATATGCAATTTTGTATTTTTGACTTCCAAGGCCATTATGATGCCGTCAAGATGTACTTAATGGCCAAATGAGATATGAAATCATACCTCCGACTCATACTCTATCTAAATATGAAAAAAAAATTGGCAATCCCTATTCATCCCAATGGACTTTTCATAGGCATGTTTTTGCCCATATATGCAATGTATTACAAAAATCGCGCGTACGGACGGTTATCTTGAACGGACGCTCATTCCGTTTTTAATAGTGATAAAGAGCTAAACATGGTATCAAATTTTCCGGAAAAATATGAGGAATATTCGGTCAAGAGCTTTTGCGGAGAAATTATTTTTCGTTCGGCCGTGACGAACGAAAACGTGCAAAAATGCGTGTTTTGCGTGATTTTTTATGAAATGCTTAAAATGGCCTGAAACGTATGCAAAAAAAATTTAAGACGATTTTGAGCAATTTAAAATTTTACGCGCGCATTGACGCGCGCGCCTACGCGTACGCGCATTTTTGCGCGCATTTATTGACCTCATATTGATCCGACGGATATTGATCTTAATCTTGATAAATATGAATGTAAAATTACTTTCCGTTATGAAGATATGATCATAAGTTGATTTTTACAAAATGGCGCCTGGATGACGTCACGATGACTTTGAGTCTTTGAAAAGTCACGCAGTTCTAAGTTAGACTAAGATCTATCATCAGTGAAAGATTCATAACAATGGCTTTATTGAGTCTTGAGATATCCTGCGAACAAATTCGAGGAAGAATAATAAATAAAAAAAAAATAAATAAAAATCTTGACGAAATCAAAAGGTGATACGTTGACTTCGTTACGTATCACCTAATGATACGTATACTTTGTACGCATCACCTAATGATTCCTTCAAAATTTGCAATTTCAACTTTCGATTGAAAATTTCGATATGATCCCAACATCTGATCGAAAAACAAAGTACACCGTTTTTATAGCCCATGGTCTCAGCTATAACATACCCCAATTTGGGAGAAAACAGAGCACACATAAGATAGATAGTGCTCATAGATGAATGCCATGCAGATTCATGATGTGAACGAAATTCACCTTCCATAGACATAACACGCAAATGACGAAAATTCTGACATGTGGCCTTTAATTGAATTTTGTACTATGATGACCTCATTAAAATGAAACTTAGTGAAAAGTGATCTTGTAGAGAATTGCCTTATCTACAACATATCGACATTTCAAAGAGAATCGATGAATATTGAGAGAAATACACTACATTTTCCATAAATACAATGACGTCATAATATGCAATTTTGTATTTTTGACTTCCAAGGCCATTATGATGCCGTCAAGATGTACTTAATGGCCAAATGAGATATGAAATCATACCTCCGACTCATACTCTATCTAAATATGAAAAAAAAATTGGCAATCCCTATTCATCCCAATGGACTTTTCATAGGCATGTTTTTGCCCATATATGCAATGTATTACAAAAATCGCGCGTACGGACGGTTATCTTGAACGGACGCTCATTCCGTTTTTAATAGTGATAAAGAGCTAAACATGGTATCAAATTTTCCGGAAAAATATGAGGAATATTCGGTCAAGAGCTTTTGCGGAGAAATTATTTTTCGTTCGGCCGTGACGAACGAAAACGTGCAAAAATGCGTGTTTTGCGTGATTTTTTATGAAATGCTTAAAATGGCCTGAAACGTATGCAAAAAAAATTTAAGACGATTTTGAGCAATTTAAAATTTTACGCGCGCATTGACGCGCGCGCCTACGCGTACGCGCATTTTTGCGCGCATTTATTGACCTCATATTGATCCGACGGATATTGATCTTAATCTTGATAAATATGAATGTAAAATTACTTTCCGTTATGAAGATATGATCATAAGTTGATTTTTACAAAATGGCGCCTGGATGACGTCACGATGACTTTGAGTCTTTGAAAAGTCACGCAGTTCTAAGTTAGACTAAGATCTATCATCAGTGAAAGATTCATAACAATGGCTTTATTGAGTCTTGAGATATCCTGCGAACAAATTCGAGGAAGAATAATAAATAAAAAAAAAAATAAATAAAAATCTTGACGAAATCAAAAGGTGATACGTTGACTTCGTTACGTATCACCTAATGATACGTATACTTTGTACGCATCACCTAATGATTCCTTCAAAATTTGCAATTTCAACTTTCGATTGAAAATTTCGATATGATCCCAACATCTGATCGAAAAACAAAGTACACCGTTTTTATAGCCCATGGTCTCAGCTATAACATACCCCAATTTGGGAGAAAACAGAGCACACATAAGATAGATAGTGCTCATAGATGAATGCCATGCAGATTCATGATGTGAACGAAATTCACCTTCCATAGACATAACACGCAAATGACGAAAATTCTGACATGTGGCCTTTAATTGAATTTTGTACTATGATGACCTCATTAAAATGAAACTTAGTGAAAAGTGATCTTGTAGAGAATTGCCTTATCTACAACATATCGACATTTCAAAGAGAATCGATGAATATTGAGAGAAATACACTACATTTTCCATAAATACAATGACGTCATAATATGCAATTTTGTATTTTTGACTTCCAAGGCCATTATGATGCCGTCAAGATGTACTTAATGGCCAAATGAGATATGAAATCATACCTCCGACTCATACTCTATCTAAATATGAAAAAAAAATTGGCAATCCCTATTCATCCCAATGGACTTTTCATAGGCATGTTTTTGCCCATATATGCAATGTATTACAAAAATCGCGCGTACGGACGGTTATCTTGAACGGACGCTCATTCCGTTTTTAATAGTGATAAAGAGCTAAACATGGTATCAAATTTTCCGGAAAAATATGAGGAATATTCGGTCAAGAGCTTTTGCGGAGAAATTATTTTTCGTTCGGCCGTGACGAACGAAAACGTGCAAAAATGCGTGTTTTGCGTGATTTTTTATGAAATGCTTAAAATGGCCTGAAACGTATGCAAAAAAAATTTAAGACGATTTTGAGCAATTTAAAATTTTACGCGCGCATTGACGCGCGCGCCTACGCGTACGCGCATTTTTGCGCGCATTTATTGACCTCATATTGATCCGACGGATATTGATCTTAATCTTGATAAATATGAATGTAAAATTACTTTCCGTTATGAAGATATGATCATAAGTTGATTTTTACAAAATGGCGCCTGGATGACGTCACGATGACTTTGAGTCTTTGAAAAGTCACGCAGTTCTAAGTTAGACTAAGATCTATCATCAGTGAAAGATTCATAACAATGGCTTTATTGAGTCTTGAGATATCCTGCGAACAAATTCGAGGAAGAATAATAAATAAAAAAAAAAATAAATAAAAATCTTGACGAAATCAAAAGGTGATACGTTGACTTCGTTACGTATCACCTAATAATAAATAACAATCTTGACGAAATCAATAGGTGATACGTAGACTTCGTTACGTATCACCTAATTAAGAGACCTAGTAATAAAATAGAACAAAATGAAATGGATTGAACATTTTTAACTTGAAGTGCATTTCTTGCTGTAATATATTAACAAATATAAACAGTTCTTCAATCCTACCTAATAATTTTCTCCTCTTATACTCTGTGTATGCGGAATAGTTAATAGTAAACCAAAAATGTGTATCTGTTCTTGAGGTAACGATTGCATTTATTGTTGAAAGAAATTATCCTAATATCAAAATATTCAAATAGTTTTCAATGAGAAATCAAATGCCTTCAAAATTCTTCAAGAATAGAGTCCAGATAAAATTAACTAATGAATAATTAGAGAACAAACTTACCCTGTCAGCTCCAGGATTTGTAGAAATTCCCTGCACGGTGTGAAAGATCGTGCCATCAGTACTACAAGCAAGCTTGTAGCTTGTAACCCACTGGCTAAAATCTTCTCGCCCTTGAGTCGCAACTGAAATGACACGGTAACGGTCCAAAAGATCCACCTTGTAGAAAGAAAAGAATGGGACGAAGAATTCTTGATGTTTATCCTCATATTCATCTAATTTGTCTATCTCCATGAGAAAACTTTTAACCAATGATCATGCACCTATCAATGAATTTACCTTGCTTTCATTCAGTTCAGCTCATCAATAATGTAACTATGGCAATCTTATAGTAGCTTTACCTAAAGAGAGGAGAAATAAATCTACGAACCCATAAGTCACCTCAAAAATTGGCGGGAAGAAAACAAATTTGTACGGTGTCAGTGACTTTTTCATTACTGACATGGTGGCAGCGGTGGGATATGAATCCATGGTATAGAACTGACTGGTGACTCTTTCATTAATGACCTGGTGGTAGCGGTGGGATATGAATACATGGTATAGAAATGACTGGTGACTTTTTCATTACTGACATGGTGGCAGCGGTGGGATATGAATCCATGGTATAGAACTGACTGGTGACTCTTATTACAGAATTATGGCAGTGTATGGATACAAATTAAACTATGGCATCAAAATTGACTGTCGACCCTTTTCATTACTGATACGGTGGCAGCAGTGGGACACGAACCGATGCCATAGAAATAAGGGTTGTCTAAATGTTTCGTGTCTGAATTGGCCTAAAAAAAACCTTTCGTACCTGGATCCACTGGTTGGCATTGTTTGTACGTGCAGACCAGGCTCCACGCAGGTTACCGACTTTGGCCAGGTTAAGACGACCTCTCTTTGCACCATGGTCAGCATTATACTCACTGGAAGCTGTCAGACTTGAATCTGGGATGACATAACTCTCAAGTCCCAGAGGGCCAGGGTCATTCAAGTTGGCTGTAAGTTATTAAAAGCGTGACAAAATGAAGAAAAACAATTGTTGGAGACACCCGGACTCGAACCAGGGATCTCGAGCTTGGAAGTCAAGTGCATTACCGATATACCAAAACATTTCCCATGGCGATTACACGTAAACGGGAAATGGAATTCTCAAATCCTACTTTGCAAGTGAAATATTAGCATGATCCCGGCATCTGATTGAAAAACAAAAGACACATTAGTGATAGCTGATTGTCTCAGCTACAACATACCCGTTAAACAAAGGAGATATTGCTCACGAAAGACAGGAATGTAGAATCCAGTTTTGAGAAAAAGTCATGTCCCATAGAGAATACACGCAAAATGTGAAAAATTTACATGCCTCCTTTAATCGCAAAAATACGCCATGATGCCTTTGTCTAAATGAACAATTGTGAATACTACCCAGGGGGCAAGACAGGTTTTTGAGACATGGAATGTTGTAAAAGGTTGTTGGGTATCAACCTGTTCAGAGGAACTCCCTTAACAATTTCCAGGTGGACTACCTCGAAAATATGTTGCTGGAAAAAATGGCGGCCATTTTTTCAAAATGGCCGCCATAAAAAAATATTTTTTAATAATATAACGATAAGTTTTGAACAGAACCTCATTTTACCTTGTGTTTGGTATCATATGAAAGGTAATTCAATTTCCTACAAGATGATACTACATTTATATTGATTGATGTCATAATACTTTAACAAAATTGCCCGAAATGTGATTTTTTAACATTTTTTCTCACAAAAAAAATTTTGCTTAAATACATATTTCCTATATCTCAATACAAATTAAAAATGAAGAATCGATAAATTGCTGAAAACTGTCCCAACATCAGTTTAATATGACCTGAAAAGTACAGCTTTATTGCTTTCCTAACAAAAAAGATATAGCGCTCCAAAGTTCACATATTGATGTTCACTAATACAACGTTTTTTTACAATACGCACAGGCTATAGTATTTATGCTATTCACGCACAATATGCGCACATGTGTTGCCATCTTGCTGTAGGGTTTGAAGGTTGTTTGCAACTGAAACATTAATTTTGAGCATTCTATCTCTTTCTTTAGATTTGTTTCCCATTTCTACATAATAACTGTGCAATCATTATTTGCAGGAGTTGCGAATCGGGCCGGTAGGGGAAGGGTGGGGGGGGGGGCGGTCCCCCAGTTTATTTTTTTTGGTGGTTTGTTCCCCTCTGGAAAGTTTGAAATTGTTAAATAAATGAATAGAAAAGACAAAATAAACAAATTTTACTACTTCAAATTTAGAAATATATTCGCTACACACAGGGCGCTACACTACTGAGCGTAGTAAACTTTGATTTAAAACAGATATGAAATGGTATAGGCCTATAAGATGTCTGAACTGCTTAAGTTAGTGTGACATCGATCTTGTCTTTTAGGTGTTCGATAATGTAAACTCCAAAACATTGGCTAAACTTCAAAATGCAGGGTCAGTAATTGATAGGGGACGTGGGGGGGGGGTGGAAAAGTTTCTCCCCCACACTAAACTTTAGGGGGAAATGTAGAATTATTATAAAAAATTATGGTTTCCAGGCTACCTATACGAATTTACAGACACAACAATTTGTATAGAAATCAATATCACGTCCTGATATTCGTTTTTGATTGAAAGTGCTGTCACTATGCAACGTCCCAATTATATTTACACAAGGGCGTTGCAAAATGTTCTCAAATGCAAAATGCAAAGTCTTAGTGGGGGAGGGTGCGATATTTTAGGTAGCTCGGCAACTGAAGGGGGAAGGATCTATTAAGGTTAACCCCCCCCCCCTTCCCGCCATTACAAGATATTGCTGCCCCTGAATGTTTTGTTCAAGGATCAGTAACTATAACAAGCTACAGGGTGCAAACTTCACGTACATGTATTGAATGGATAATGCATAGTGGAAATCAAAACTTGGAGATATACATGTTTAGTGTTCAAATGATCTATCAATAAGGTTTTTAACACCAAGTCTTTAAATGTATTTAATGTTCACTTAACCTCTTTCCAATTATACTGTTATAGCGGTTTTGGCTAAAATTACAGTGCACATACCTGATTAAATGTAAATAAAAATGTTAATAATGATGATAATATCTAACTGAAAAGGGAATTAAGATGAAAATAAAAGTCGTTAATGTTATTCAATTTGTGAACATATTTCAATACCCCGGTATATCGTAGTTGCATTTAAAGCGACTATTCTTCATTTCCGACATCACTGTTTTTCTTTCTTAAATCACTGTCTGAGTCGCTGCTACTGTCACTGATATTCGCTGCTCCGATGTCAAATTCGATCTCCTGCACCCTGCTACATTTGCTTGATAGTCCTTGGCAACGGCACCCTATGTAGCATGGTATTTCCGTCTTGGCACATGAGCAGTTCTTCTTGCACCCTTTAGTACATCCGCATGATATAGCCTTCTTCATCGAAACGGGCCAGGCTTCATGGGTACTTGGAATAGGAAGCACGTGCTGACCATCCAGATTCCACCCAAATTCTGTCCAGGCAGGGATTTGAGGCTTGGCAATGTGTGCTGTCTTATCTATCATCGTTGCAAGGGCAGCTCTCTTTACATGTAGAAGAAATGCGTCCTCTGTGGGGGGCAGGAGCCTTAGGAGAGTAGATCTGTTGTTCAAAAACTTGTATGCCCTGATTTTGCCTAGATCAGACTCATTGAAGTCATCACTTGCTGAGGTGTAAACAGCAGTCGTGATGGCCCTTGCCTCCTTGATTAGGTCTCCAGATACAACGTCAGCTGGATTCTCACCAAACTGTTCAATCGTGGGTATGTCAAGACTCAAGCTGCGCTTGAACCATGCCTTCTTGCCGGTGAAGAATGGATAACTTGTTGTATCTCTGCCACTCAGGCTATGGATGAAGGGCATTGCACGACACGGTGAAGCTCCCAGTGCTACCACCATTTCATGGATCGGCAAGTATGAGTCTTTGGCTGTCCTTATCCATAGTTCTGGTAGATCTTTCAGGTATGTCGCTCCATAGTGTAGACACGTGATAATAATATCTGTGTCATTGGCATGGATGACTACCCTTTCAACTTTGTCATTTTGGACACTGTACAGGGTGTGCAGAATTACCCTTGTATCAGCCTCCTTCTGAGTCGATTCAAGAGCTGGAACATCCATAACAGACTCTCTTGTGATCAATACAGTCTTAGTCTCTTCTGTGAATCCACCGCCCAGATAGAGATGGGTTGGGCCTACATTGTCATCCAGATGCTTATTCTCACACCATTTCTCGCATAGATAGTTTTGGAGATTAGCCTTGTTTGCAGCCACTGCAAAGAATTCCTGTGGGTCAGGAGCTGTGTAATGGTCACTGACTTCATATTCCCGGGCGGGTTTAGATCGGGCATACCTGTGCTCTTGCTCAGCAGACTTCAAGCTTGGTCCGCTGTACCTGTCACAGCAGAAGTGTATGAACTCCGTACCAGCAGGCACATCATTCAGTAGCAGGTATTTGTATCGTTCAGCAATGGTTCCAAATCGTTCGCCTTTGTTGAAAGACCAATGTCGGATGGCACACATGGCATCAATGACTACTGCTGTCTTTCTGACATGTTGGGGCAGATCAGGCGTGCTGGTAACTTTGGTCACCTCTTTCAGGGTTTTCACGAGGCTTGATTTGGTACCTTTTCTCATTCTGCCATCATCTTGAAAGAGAGACGGTGGGTATTCATTGCATTCGTGGTTCCCTATGAAGTCAACAATGTCTAGTTCTCCACCACTAGCAACGATCTGTGTCATTCGCAGAAGAGCAGTTACTTCATTACTCTTCCCCGATTTAGCTGTTTGGGGCGCAGACTTCTTTTGTTTCTTGTTTTGTGTGTGGAACGTGTTCAGCTTCACAATACTTGTCTTCTTCTGAAGACTGGACAGTGACTTAGAGAGTGCATCCAGGCCTATTTGTTTAACACTGGTCAAGTTGTCCTTAACTTTGCAATCAGCACATTGCCCAGTTGCCACATTTATCAGGGATGTCGTGGTTGCACTGAATGGATTCGTCTCGACTGCTGCCATTACCTTGATGACCATCTCTGCATCCCTTGTTACTCGACATGCACCAGATTCATGATGAGGGCTGGTTGAATGAAGATGTAGCATTGATTTCAACTGTGCAGAGACAGATGCAGTGATGGGTTTAGTGTAAACCCATTTCATCCGTGCGGCAGGGTTTAGTGTAATTCCGTCAAGACCGCTAGCTTCCTTGGCATCGGCATTGTAAGTCTGTTCAAGAAGCATGTCAGGAGAAACACAATTGTGCTTGCCGTCTGCTCTCCTTCCAACAAATGCACCCGCCAGAAGTGCTTCATGTACATCAGGGGCTGTTTCAGGAAGTTTCTTCATCTCATCAAGATAGAGTGGGAGAGACTGCTGCCCATATTTGTAATGCCCTGCTGCTGTGAGGTAAGGTAGCATTCGATATGATTCACAGAGGTGTCCTACCCAGTCAGCTTCTCGCTGGTAGTAGATAAATCTATGGAGAACATCTGACATAATCAGGAAGGTGGACCATAGGATTGCTGTTGGCTGCTCAACCATTGATTCTTGGAAAAGCATCATCTGTTCCCGCAGGGCTGATAACTGTTCATGGGAATTCCGAAGCATTTGCAACTTTTCAGTGGCAGGGATGTCTTTTTCAAAGAGCATCTTCAAGACAGATTCCACCTGAGGCTGCCAGTGATCTGTTGCTCTGTCTGCTGCCCATGTCTCAAATGCTTCCCAGTAGAGGCGCCACATAGCTTCGCTTAGGATTCTCAGGGCATGTATGGTCTGGTAGTAGTCAGCTTTCTCACCAAACATCTTCTTGGCAGTCCCTTCCTGGCATAGACCAGCTGCAACGAGAAGATCTTCTGCACCTGCCTCCCTGGTGATCTTGCAAACTGCTTTCATGTAGTTGTGAGCTTGATGAAAGCCACCCAGCAGTAAGACCACATTGCTGAACTCATTACGATGCTTGTCTCTGATGGCTACGGCGAGCTCATATGTTGCCTGATCTCCAGTGATAATTGTGTATTTGTCGCCAAGTGCACGTGATGTCTTGACAAGTCGAATCATCATTTCCTTTAGTATAGTAGGGTTGGTTGGAGAGGATGGGATCAGAGGAAGGTAGCCAATGATGCTCGCCTGTCTATGTGGGTGGAGGTCAGCACAGAACGCAGAAAAGCCTGGAAGTCCTGCTCCTAAATCTGTAGGAGCATCCAACAGTTGCGAAGTAGTAATCATTCTACCGAGGCGCCACATAAGCAAAACATCCTCAGCCTGGCCATCTGAAGAAGTCATCAGACTCTCCAGTTTCTCTATGCATTGAAGTGACCTAGATGTCTGCCTGTCTCTAGCTGAGATATGGCATGTAGAAGGAGGTGGGTCTTCAACATCAAAGAGAGTTTTTCTTCTGTCTGACGTGGAAGTACGCAGTCTAGTGCCTTCCTGGGCCCTCTCCAACTCCTGGTTTTCAATGACGATTGCAGTAGTAGCATTGAAACTTCCACCTTCAAGTGTTTTCTTCTTCCAGTCCAGATTGTCCATGGCAAACACATGGGGAATTTCACTGTTTTTTGCCATTGTCTCTGGGATGTAAACACCATCAGTTTCAACCTGCTGCATGGCCTTCACACTCTGTGCTGTCAGTTGCCGATGAAGACGTTCATAACTGATCCCCAAGCCAGTTCGGTTGTTCATCACTACTTGTGATTTGCTTCGTGTCTGATTGAATATGTAGTATGCAGTGGAAATTCCTAGAGGTGTGGGTATGCCAAATACATGCTGTAGGACATACTGTGACATGATGATAGCCTTTTCCGCTGTTGCCTGGTCTACATGAACTTTACCTCCTTCACTCAATTCTGGTACATGGTCTTTGAGCAGCATTGCTGAGAAGTTGAAAAGCGAGTATGGAACCATGTTGTATGCAGATGTGAAGGAAATCTCAGTTGAATTTTTCTCACGAGTCTCTTTCTTACACTTTTCACAATCTGCTCTAAGAATCTTTGATGCTTGCAGAAGTGTATGGTGTTTTTCGTCTCCTTCTAGGCGCCTCAGTTTATCCAGTGCGTCACCAAGTGGTACTGTGGAAGCACATATAAATCCCGAACCTTTTGTTTGATTGAGGACTGAAATACGTGACCCATAGTGATCCTGTAACTTCTGTTTCAAGACAGTCGCCCGGTATTGATTTCCTTTATCGACACCAAGATCCATAAGAATGTCTCGGTACCTATCGCGGAGTGATTCTACGAGGAATCCGGACGGATCATGGAAAAGAGGAGCTTCCAGCTCATCTACTAGTCGGCTGAATGCAACATCATAAGGGTTTAATTTTGGCTGACCAGAATGAATGCGAAGAGCCTTGAATTTGTTCATACATGTTGAATGATAGGTTATATCATTGGCAATCATATCATGTCCCTGCCCAATCAGCCTCTGTAATATGTCATCTCTGCCCAGCTTCCTTGCCCTCTCCTCAATCGACATTTGACTGCTCTTTGTTGATACCTTACACACTGGCCCCTTTCCCTTCAACTTCCACTTCTTATCGCAAATTATACATGTCTTCTTTGCTTCAAAACTCTCAGTGTTCTGACGGGTTAACTTGACAGGTTGCTTTGACTGCGATGAGCTGCATCCTGCATGAGACTCACCTTCTGTACTCGGGTTATCAGCAAGACGTTTCTTTTCAGCACACTGGTAGCCTTTCTCATGTATGTACCAGTTACGACATTTTGCATGCCACCTTGGTGCATTTTCCTCCAACCAGGTTTCTGATGCTGACTCGGTGTGAATTCTGTTAAACACTTCATCTTGTCGAGCGAACATGGCTTGTATAAGCTTTGAATATGTTGTTAACTGGATGAAGTATAGACTCATCAAAGACTCTTGTTGGCATATGATGCATTTTGTGTAATCAGTGCTCATATCTTTGGAAGACTTCTTAGCAGGCACATGCTTCAGGGACATGGCACTATCTGCCACACGTTTGCTTGGCTGCTTACTCATCTTGCTGTAGGAACCTACAATATAGAGGGGGAGGGGTATCGTTTTAATAATAGTTACACTGTTTTCATATTTGATATAAATCTAACTTTAAAATGTTACTTAAAGGTATTATGTCCCATTTGCATGCCAAACTAATGAAAAGGTTAAATTCCAACGGGATTTGAAAGATAATACTAATTTAGAAATTCCCTCAAAAACGAAGGGCTTAAAATGTCTTTAAGTTGAAAGAAAAAAAATGACCATTAGTTGTCGAATCGACTTTAGTGATTGCAATCACCAAGGTAATATTCTGATTTTCAAACCCTTGTACCGACTCGTTGTACGTTTGGTGCTGCGCAGAGATTCAATCCGTTTAATTTTGGCCATTACAAGAAGTGGGTTGTTGATGTAGGCAAATGCTCATGTACCCTTTACAGCTCATTTTATGTATGTTTTTTTTTCTCTTTAATATTTATGTATGTTATTACCAAAGAAAACAGTCAGAGAGTCACTCAATAGTGTCTGACAGTGAAGTCTAGCAAGTAAACGGGTTTCCTTGCATAATTTGAATAGAAGTGAGGAATTTGACCAAAGTAAAAAATATAATTATGCCTTGAATTCAGATTATAACTACAATGTATAGCTATTGTTAGAAAACTTGTATAAAGTACATTTAACTGTGTGGCATACAAATAATATTAGATGAATCTAAATGATACTAAAATAGAAAGATACCTCAAATCACTAAAAACTTGGTCCTTTGAATATTAATTTTGCAAAAAGTAATGTGAATGATGTTTTAATTATAATGTGTACATTATTACAGTGTGACAATTAAAGGTGAAAAAAAAAAATCAATGTCCCATTTGCTGTAAAACACATACCAATTAAATGATATTGTCGCATGCAGATATTAGAAAGCTTGTTTGTTAATCGCTTACCATTATGTACTAGGTGCTTAAGCGGGATATCATCATCAGGATCACTGACATCATTTTGCACTGAGGCAAAGGAGGCATCCATGTTGTCCCAATCAGCATCCCCTAAAAAGAAAAAAATTCATATTACATACTCGTTTTTAGTGACTAGCGATTGCAGAGTGGAGACAAATGGATAGATGGGAATTTTTTTTTTTTTCAGCATTCAATCATATGAAATGTATTTAATGTAAGATTAATGTTTTTATTCATAATATTTACAATGACTGATATTTTCTACAACTCAAAATATAATACACCTCCAGATATTGTAAAGAATGTTTGTTAATCGCTTACCATTATGGACTAGGTGCTTTAGAGGCATATCATCGGGATCCATGACATCATTTTGCACTGAGGCAAAGGAGGGAACTGTGTTGACACTATCAGCATCGTCTAAAAAGAGAAAATGTATATAAAGTAAGATTAATCTTTTGATGGCTAACATTTACAATGACTGATATTTTCTATGATTTAAAAATATAATGTACACCTCCAGATATTGTAAAGAATGTTTGTTAATTGCTTACCATTATGGACTAGGTGCTTTAGAGGCATATCATCGGGATCCATGACATCATTTTGCACTGAGGCAAAGGAGGGAACTGTACGTGTTGACACTATCAGCATCGTCTAAAAAGAGAAAATGTATATAAAGTAAGATTAATCTTTTGATGGCTAACATTTACAATGACTGATATTTTCTATGATTAAAAATATAATGTACACCTCCAGATATTGTAAAGAATGTTTGTTAATTGCTTACCATTATGGACTAGGTGCTTTAGAGGCATATCATCGGGATCCATGACATCATTTTGCACTGAGGCAAAGGAGGGAACTGTGTTGACACTATCAGCATCCCCTAAAAAGAGAGAATTCATATTCAATACTTGTTTTGCTGACTAGCCATTGCATAGTTGAGAAAGAGAGGAATGGATGGGAAATGTTTTCTTTTCCTCATTCAATCATATGAAATTTTATTTTATGTAAGATTGATGTTTTAATGGCTAACATTTTGAATGACTGATATTTTCTACAACTCAAAATAAATGATATATAAGTTACCTGATGAGGTACGATGAATCACTTGAAGTACCTTCCCTGCCCACCAACGCCCACGTTCATCTTTCATCTTCACGTTGGTCCCTTTCCTTAATGGATTCTTCTTAAAGAACCAAACATCTCTCGAATCAACGTAGTGCCTGGATCCATCCTTCTTCCATTGGATGAGGAGGTCTATACCATTTGTTTCAGCTGTAAACAAAAAATAACAGCAGTCAATTTAACAAATTTGAATTGTTCAGCTATGTGGTGTTGAAAAGATTTGAAATCTACATTCCAAGTACCCTAGTCTGCGCACCAAGACTTTTCATACAAAAATGAAAAATGTTAAACATGAATCTAAAACTAAATACCTGCGTGACTTGTTCAAAAATTATTCGGAAGATTGATGAAAAAAATCTAAACAACTAACTCACATTTAACACCTCTCCGCTTGGCTAGAACATTGATGTGCACTTAAGTATGTGCACCCCATTCAATTTTATGTACATCCAATTTGCAGCCATTAATTGTGAGATTTATAAAAACTACAAAAGTTGCATTAACTCTGACATTGATTATAACATGACATGGAATGGCGAATTCGTTTCTTAGAAAACTGTCGGTTGCGTCTTTTCTTCCATCGCAATCACACATTAATTAATGCAGTTTAATAATGATAACAAAATAATTATTATAGAGTCTAGGGTCTAGATCTACTTAGATTTAGTCAAGAATCTAGATCTTTAGATGTCTATAATATATAGTACAGACTAGATCGATCTAGACTAGAATATATTTAATGAAACAAAATTATGCACATGCACCTCATATTATTTCACCTTTAATCATAACCATATGATTTTTGTACATAGATCTAAGCGAATAAAGATGTTCATAATCATAGCTACATGTTTGGATTTAATGAAACAAAATGATGGACATGCACCTCATATTAATTCACCTTTAATCATAACCATATGATTTTTGTTATATAAGCGAATAAAGATGTTCATAGCTACATGTTTGTGTGCCAAAGGTCGCCATAGACCCGACACTTATATTGTAGATCTAAGTGACTAAGCCGTATTCGCCATAACAAGACACGATATACAGTACGTGGGACAGGTGTACTAAATTTGTTCATCACCAGACACTCTTCAGTACCGTATACCAACAATAAAATAATTTAATACGTATATCGGCACTTAAATACTTTCAACAACCATAAAGCCATAAGTAACTGATATAAATGACTTATCTGCACATTACAATTTGTTTATTTAATTGCTTACGTAGACTGGAATCCCCGGCAGACGACATGTTGTTGTTGTTGTTGGGTAATTGTTTATTGGCGTTCATTCAATGTTGAATATATACGCCATAATTATTTTTAATTTTATAGGTCTAAGGAAAATCAGTTATAAATAAGAAAACTGAGGATAAAGATTTGTAATGATATAATTAAAAAGTAACGCAATTTTTTAGGAGTCTCTGGATGGTTTGCAACTTCGTGTTTCTGCTCTTTTTTTTAAAGTTTAATCTGGTCAGCCCGGTTTCGATGGCATGGAAAACTAGCTTTGCCCGATGTGAAACAGGCTTCTCGGCTACTCGGCGTGCGTGCGCAGTGATCTTTTAATTTTATAACGCACGGTGCATGCCTAGACCACTCAGAAACACAGAAACACTATAAATTGAGACACATCGTACAGGGGCGCTCCTGAAACCGAATTTCCAATCCATTCAAGTAAATTGATATACAAATCTTATCACATTATCACTATTTGTAAGCAAACATTTAAGTGGGCTCTTTGTTAGTATCAATGCATAAAAATAGAACAATTGAAAAATTAACGTCTTTATTTAATATTATATATGGCCTATATAGGCCTATATATTACATACCTACATACATTATATTTCTTTATTTATTCCTCCTTTTATTCTCTTTATGAGAATCTCCTAAAGAAGCGATAGGGGAAAGAAGTACTTTTGGCTTATTTTACTTTACTTGTAGGTAAACTTATTAGGTCTCTTGTTTTATTTGAAGCGACCTGTTCTATGGATATATAGTAGGATGGCATATTGAGCCTTCTGTGAAAACTTGAAAAGTATTCTTTTTGTTTCTTCTATTGTTTTGGTGTCTAAATCTGAGAAAAGCATTGCTCGTTCAATGATATACTTATTACAATAAAATATAAAATGTTCTTCTGTTTCACTGATGTTACAATAATCACAATATTCTGTTTCACTTAAACCCACTTTAGCCTTTTGTTGGTTCAGTTGAAGAACACCCATTCTCAATCTATGTAATATTACTTCACTGTATCTGTTTACCTTGATTGATATACATGAATGATTCTCAAATCGTTTTAAAGGTGATTCTATCGTTTTCCATCTTTCTTCCCCAATTTCTCGTACTCTTTTACTCAGTATTGATTTCAGTTCTTGTACATTAAGATCATTGTTAATTTCTATGTTTTTCTTTAATGCTCTCTTAGCAAAACTATCTACTACTTCATTCCCTACTAGTCCACAGTGAGATGGGATCCATTCTAGCGTTATGTTTATACCTCTATAATGAAGATGTGTTATTTTTATCAGTATTTCTATTACGAAATTTTCTTTTATCTGCGATTCTATTGCATTTATTGTACTCAGAGAGTCTGAAAGAATAACTATACCAACATAAATATTCAAGTTTTCAATCCAATCTAATGCCATAATAATGGCTACTTGTTCTGCCCTGTATGACGATGTGTCATTGTGTAATCGTTTCTGTTCATGAATTTTCATCGCTGGTACGTAGAAGCCTGCTGCTGCGTTGCCTCTTTTAGGATCTTTAGATCCGTCTGTGTATATATGTAGGTGTGTTTTATATCTAGTGTTTATTACTTCTAAAGATTTGGCTTTTTGATAGTGTGGGTTGTCATTCTTGCTGATTAAAGTATGTAATTCAGTGGAGATGGTGGGTGGAATGTAATGCCATGGTGGAAATGGTATTGGTCTGTTTTCTTCAACTTCATCCGATTCTTGAACTATTTTCTCGTTTAGAATTCTAAAACCAAAGGGCTTTTTTCCTTTCTTTTTTTTAAGATTTTCATACTGCCAACAGTTGATTGTACATTTTCGGACTGGGTGTTCGGGAGTAGATTTCACTTTAAAATAATATCTATTCGTCAGCATTTTTCTCCTTATATCTAGTGGTTCTTCTCCTGTTTCTTTAAGCAGGGATTGTAATGAAGTTCCAATAGGGCCACCAGTTATAATTTTTAAAGCCTGATATTGTACTGAGTTCAACGTATTCTTTACTAAGTTTGAAGCTGAATCGTATGCTTCACATCCATAGTCAAATAGTGAACGTATTAATGCTTTATATACAATAAGCATAGAGTGGGAGTCATTTCCCCATGATATACCAGTTATTTTCTTCAAAATATTCAATTTTATTTTACATCTTTTTACTATATCCTGAATATGTGGTCTCCAACTTAATTTTTTATCAAACATTAAGCCTAGGAATTTGTGCTCCTGTACAAAAGGCAAGGGTACTCCTTCAAGATTCAGTTCACATTTTTTATTACTATTTGTAAATAGAAGCGAAACTGTTTTTTCATGAGATATTGAAATTCCCCAGTATTTAAACCATTCATTTAACCGATGTAGGTATGTTTGAACTTTGTCTTGAACAAACGTTTCATTTTTACCTGATTTCCATATAGCACAGTCATCTGCAAATAATGATAAATTCACTTCCTTTTCCAATGGTATATCATGCATCATAATGTTGAATAAAATTGGGCTAAGGGCACTTCCTTGTGGTAATCCATTGGCTAGGGTAGATATTTTAGATAATGTCTGTCCATTCCTCACTTGGAAGGTTCTTTTCTGTAGTAAGTTCTGAATAAATGTATACATGTTTCCTTTCACTCCTAATTTGAGTAATTTATATAATAAACCATTGTACCACAACTTATCGTATGCCTTTGTTACATCTATAAAGCAGACTAGAGTATGTTCATGGTTCCCTAAGCTTTGCTGAATACTATTTTCAAGTAGTATAATATTATCTGTAGAGCTTCTTCCTTTTCTGAATCCGCTCTGTATGCTCGGAAAAATACTTTTATTTTCTAAATACCAATCTAGTCTTCTATAAACCATCTTTTCCAATATCTTTATAAAGATGGGAGTTAATGTTATTGGTCTATACGATGATGGTTTTTGTGGATCTTTACCTGCTTTTAGTATCGGTATCAAGATTCCGTGTTTACACTGTTGGGGGATGTTTCCACTTTCCCAAATCTTATTCATAATTTTTAACATTTTATTTTTAATCTGTACTGGTAACTTCTTGTAGATTTCATATCCAATTTTATCTTTTCCTGGTGCTGTATCTTTTTGATTTTTCAGGACTTGATTGAATTCTTGCATAGTAAATTTTTGATTCAAAGACTGATTTCTACGTTGTTCTTGATCGTCATTTACATTTTCTTGCATAATATATTCTTTAACTATATTTTCGGCTTCATTGTTTATTATTGTACTCTCACTAATATTTTCAAAATGATTAGCCATCACATTTACAACCTCTTGAGGATTTATTATTTCTTTCTCTTCGTATATTATCGATTTAATGTTTTTATTTTTCTTATTAGTCTTACTATTTTCTATTTTACGTATCATATTCCAAATGTCTGTCATTGATGTGAAACGAGTCATTTCCTTACAATAGGTGATCCAATAGTCTCGTTTTGCTTGTCTTTTGATCTTTTGTGCTTCTGCTTTCTTTATCAGGTAATCTTCTACATACTCTCCAGTTTTTCTTTTCTCTGCTAGATATCTTAGGTGATTTCTTTCTTTTATACTTTGTGAACATTCCTTGTTCCACCAGGGAACAGGATTTTGTCTTCTTTTTGATTTCACTTTTCCTAGACGTATCATTATGTTATTCAAAGTTTCTACAAATATAATGTAAGCTTCTTCTACATTATGTTCGTCTATATTTATCATCTCTTCTTCACATGCTTGTTGGAATGTTTCCCAATTATATTAGCAAGTGACCAATTTATTTCTTCCGGATCAATCTTTGGAAGATCATTTTGATTTCCTATTTCTATCAATATAGGAAAATGATCACTTCCTAAAGTGGTAGATTCTACGCTCCAAGAAATCTTATGGGAAATATTAGGAGATGAAAAGCATAAATCTAATGCTGAACGCTTTGTCGTTCTATGGTCAATTCTTGTACCTTCCCCAAGGTTACAAATCGTAAAATCATGTTTCAACATGTATTTTTCGATTATTTTTCCATTTCCGTCGGTCTTGTCACTACCCCATAAAGTATTATGTGCGTTAAAGTCTCCTAATATAATTTTTCTTTTAGCTTCTTTTGCATTTTTTGTTATATTATCCAATATCTGTGGTGTTATCTTTTTACATGGGTTATAAAAGTTCACCACTGTGTATATACATTGATTGAAATATATATTCACCGTTTGACATTCTATGTCTTCATGTTCTGTAACTTTGTTATGTCCTAACGAATTATGGAAGTATATAGCACATCCACCTCGTATGCCTGTTTTTTCTATTTCTATAAACTCCTTCATAATTATTTATATCAAAATTTTCGTTTTCTAATAGCCAAGTTTCTTGCACGCAAATTAAATGAATTATTTCTTGTCTATTATTAATGTGAAGTCTCAGTTCGTCTCCGTGACCATTTATGCCCTGCGCATTCCATTGCAGTATATTTAGGGTCACGGAGGCGAACAGACTAAAATACCAGGTCAATAACATTTTGTTCATTTAACATTTCTTTAGTGAGATTGAAAAATTTGAGAGCTGCTCCTACAATCAGGCTTATTGGATTATCTTTCTTTTGATTAAAATTTGCAAGAATATATACAATAAATGAAATTATTTCTTCATTACTGGCATTGACAACGAAGTTTTTCTCATTTTTACAAACTTCTCCTCCTTCATGAACATACTGCGTGGTTCCAGAATAATCTTGGTGTGCAGTATTTTCTTTCGTATTTCTGTTTTGTTGTCTGCCTTCGCTTTGTTTTAGTTGTTTGGGATAAGTTTTAATTTCCTTCTCAGATTCTTTTATCTGGGGTGTTTGTTTGTTTATCTGTACCGGAAAGTCTACCGCTTGTCTTTCTTGTGAAAGAGGAGCGTGTTGGATTTGGTTTGTATCCATTGCTTGATCTTGATCATTCTTCCAAACTTTGGCAGCTTGAGCATAGCTTACTTTTTTTTCTATTTTGATTCTTTGCACTTCTTTTGCTTTTTGGGCTTCTTGACATCCCAAATATGCC